CCCCTTGAGTTATCTCAACACACCAAGCCAAGAAGGCTTTCTGAGTCTAATGGCAATAACTTATTGTGATATATTGACTCTCAGATGCTGGGACATCAAAGCTAAAAGTAACCTTAAAAATCACCTTATCAGATTCTTGTTTTCCAAGACAAGTAACCAGTTCATGCATAGTTCCCTTCCCTTTTGAAATGGGGGGATAAACTGTATTTCATTCATTTAGTAATAAATTCATGTACCTATCCATCCTTCCATCAGTGATCTATGCACTGACTCATTCATTAAATATCCACTAATGCTAAATAGCCAGTTTGTGCTTGGCTCTAAATTTAAGACATGATCTCTGCTCTCCAAGAGTTTAATATATATAGGTACATCTACACACACAAATACTTATGATTCACTATGACGTGTTACAGTACAAGTGTGAACAAAGCATGTTATGAGCACCTAAAAGCTGGTGACTAATCTGCTCTGCCTGGAAGGGTGAGGGAAGACTTTTAAGAAGAGGCAACATGAAAACAAAGCATCAAAGGGAAGGAGAGAGTTCTAGAAAGAAAGGAGGAAGGAGATCACAGAGAAGAATGATTGTCCAACTGTCCGGCCTTGGGAAAGTGTACAGCATTCCAGGATGGCAGTGAGCAGCAGGGTGGCACTGCTGAAGAGCGCTGTGGTATGGGGTGGAGGACATGGACTTGGCGGGGTGGAGGCGATGTGGAAGCCAGCTGTAGAGATCTCCGCCACACTGTGCGGAGAGCGTGTACTTGGGCTTGGGGCCGCCAGGGAGCTTTTGCATGTTTTCAGTGTCACATCAAATCTATATTGTGTTAAAACCTTTTTGCCCACAATGACAACAGCCAGAGAGTGTTCATGGAGTGGGAAGAGGAGATGCTGTTGTGATTGTCCTAGAAATAAAGGCAGTCGGAGTAAGCTTTCATGTACAAATCAGATCATATCACCTTCTTGCTTATAACTGTCTGTTCTCCATACTTCTCACCCTGTACCCAGGCAGACTTCACCCCAAAACCCTGTTTTGCTTTGTTTGCTTTTCAGACAGCACTCATTAGCATATTAAATCATGTATCTGCTGGCCTGCTCATTGTCTGTCTGCAATGATAAAGTGAGAGCACTTTTAGAGGAAGGTATGTGTGCCTTACTAATCATTGTACTTCTAGTCTGAGCACAGTGCCTGGGATATAGCAAGTTTCCCCAATAAACGATCAGCAAAAGCTTGATCCAGAGAAGCAGTAATGAGGATAGGGAGAAGATGACCTCAAAGACAGAAAACAGATGCTTTTCTTCCAGGCTCACTATGTGCTTATGAGTGGATGGTAGCTGATCTTCAGCGAGATGAGGGTTACTTTACAATCCTAACTGATTGCATTTGTTATCCACATCCAAAAATTTTTGTGAGGCATCCCTGTTTTTCTTCTTGCCCTCTACCCTGTGTGTTTCCACACATTATCAGTCTCTGGAAACTTCCAGACACACTCCACTTTATGCTTCTATGTTCTAGTCTCACCTCTGCCATTGCCCGATTGTGAGCCAGACACATTACTTTTCCAGAGGCCTCAGTTTGCTGAACTATAGAATGAGTGTGACAGCCAGGGGCCTATACGATGTCTTCTAACTTAAATACCATGGATCGCTCTCAATTTTATCTAGCTAAAATAAGAACTCTGCTGTTTTTAGTTTTTAAAATTATCCACAACTAAAAAAACAAAATCCATGACTTTCATAAAATAACATTTGTTGTTTCTTTGTTGTCTGTTTCAATTTCTATCCGCAAGTATTTTTACAGAACTCTAATCAGAGCATATGTATAGCTTTGTGTTCTACTCTTATCCTGGAGCATTACTTGTTACACGCCTTTCATGCTGACACACAGTGTGCCCATTTATCATTTTAAAGGCTACATAATTTTCCGTGGAGTTTATATATCATGAATTATTTAACCATCCCCAAATTGTTGGGAATTTAGATTCTTTCCAGGTTTTGCTCTTTTAAAAAGCTTTGAACATATAGGGCTTTTTTTTTTTTAAGAGTTATTTTCCTTAGGGTAAATCCCTAGGAGTGGGATTACTAGATGAGTTTTATGGCTCTTGGAAAGCAGTGCCAAATGGCTCTCCAAAAGGATTGTTTCAATTTGTGTTCCATGCGAGAGTATGCCAGTTTCACAGAAACCTTGCCAGCACGTTTTTAAAAATCAATTTCCTTCATTTTTTTCAAGTTGAACTTGTGTGAAATAGGGCTTCCTGATTGTTGTTGTTTTGGGATTATCATCAGCCAGGCTAACATGATAATACATTGCTTGGCAGATAGAAGCACTCAATGATCAGTATTGCTATTATGTGGAGAGGGAATTTAAGAGGGACAGATATACTTGTCCTACTTCTGAACACATTTTTTCCCTATGCATTGTCTCCAGTTCAGCTTTGTGCAAATATTTACTCCTTACCTCCCATGTTGGCTCTCAGAAAAGTGCCATCATTCCTCCATTCCAAGTGACCACACTTCCCTAGACTTAAAATTCACAAACCAGGATCTCTTCCTTGTGGATTCTGTCCTCCTTCCTATACGTCCATCAAGCGGGTCCTTACTAGAGATGGGTGCTCACTTCCCTTCCCAAAGCTGTAGGTTCATCTGAAGTTTGCATTCCCAGAGCTTTCTCCTCTTCTTCATTATCCTAAACATACCATTCAGCTACTGCAAGATGATGATCATATCCTGGTTAGCATGTTTTCCCCCAAGTTGGATTTTCTTAAGCTATCCCTTATTCTATTCATGTTTTCATCTTGTCAGAGTCCTGGTTTCTCCACTCTTACTGAATTCTACTTTGTATCTTTTCCCTGCAACGGGCTTATTCAGTTATTAATATTTACTGAGTATCATTCAAGTGGTAATCAAAATGCATTCAAGTGATATCAAATAAATCCAGTTCTTGCTGTCCATAGGCTCAGAGTCCAATGGGTAAAAGAGGAGTACAACCTTGTAAGGTTTTGACTTTAGAAATTTCTTAACAAGTAGGCTATTTCATAGGTCAGGGGATAACACCTTCAGGTAAATCTGTTGGTCTCCTTTCATTAATCAACCTTACCTATGCCTCACAGGTAAAAGGATGGCTGTCTTTCCAAGTAGAAGCTACCATACACCATGTGATGGGAATGTCCTAGCATATTAGAGACTGAATTTTTGAGTCTTAGACAAGGGAAAGAGTTGTAAGATGTGTAAGTGATGATACCCGCTCTAGCAGAGCTAATCCAGGGTTGTGCCTAAGATGAAGACTAAGACTTCTAGATATCTGCCAAGATATGCAGTAGTCTGTGAGCTAGTGAGAGCCTAAGATAAAACAATTTCCTAGGTAGGAAGGAAGGAAGTCTAGGACTAGCTAGAAAGGAAATGAATGGAGAAAACTCAGGACTTACTCTGCTGTTGTTTAGTGACCTGGGTTCCATCACTTAAGTACTCTAGAACTTAGTCTACTCATGTATAGAAAGAGGGCTGGACTTTGTATTTGCTCTATAATGTAGCATCCAGCTCTTCTACACTATGCGCCACATGGCAATAAATCCTATTTAGTCTTTCTTGACTTTCTAAACTTCCCTCACCCAACCAGAAAAAAACAGAAAAGGAGGTGATCTCACTGGCCACTGGGTAGAAGTTAAAGAGTCCATTGGGATTCCATGTCCTCTGTAGCCACTACGATTGTCATGCCCAGTTAATCCTAAAATCTGCTGCTGGTGGGATTTGTGCTCAGCTCACTGAGCCTAGTGCTGTAGCTGTTGCCTCTTACTTCCTCTCATTAAGGCTAACTACCGCTTATTTTGTTTTGTTTCCCCCACATGGTTTGAGTTTGCTGCTTCCCAGCTCTTGTTATTAGAACAGACATAATTAATAACTCCTGGCACATGGAACAGCCAGATTGGACAATCTGCCTTCTGCTTTCTCGAACTGTCTTCTGAGCAATCTGAAAGCCAGAATTTATAGCCTGGACTCAATACAATGGATTGTTTTGTAATCCCAAGAAAGAATCAGGAACTAACCACATTGCCAACTTGAAAAAACATAACATTCTCTTTGTAGTTCCTAGTAGAAGTTGTATCCAAACTCTTCAGTTAAGTTCTAAAAGCCGTATGTAGTCTTCTAGGTCTTTCTTAAACTTCTGTTGAGAAAATGATTATGGGGTTTTTAAAAAATTTGGTTACTGTTCTAGAATTTTTCATTCTGGATCACCAGAAATTGGCTGCTACTGCCCAACCCACTCAACTTCTGTGGTAGACTAAATCCATTTTCTTAAAATTAAAACAAAGATCCATTATTCTCAGAAAAAAAATAAGAATCTTATCAACATGTTTGATTTTTACCCAATACAATTACAATTCCTTGGTCTTTTCCATTTCAGGGCTCCTATAATCCAAACATTAGGCATCTTTAAACCTGTAGTTTTGATTCTTATTAATTTGACTATACTCATTTAATTGATAGGATCTAAATTGAACAAATGTGATTATTTAATAATATTTACTGTGCTACTCCTTTTTGTTTTGTGCTTTGGAGGATACAAATTTGAATAAAAATAAGATTTATGCTGAAGTATCTTTTAATTTATAAATAGAAGAAAATTAGTAATTATAATATAGGATTTAGTCATGTTGACTCAGAACAGTAGTATAAACAAGTAGTTCCGGAACTTGACTGAACATTTAACTCCAAAATATAGAGAAATAAAAGATAGATAATAGGAAATAGGGAGAAAAGTCTTTCTCACAGAGGAAGGGAATCAAGAAGTAGAGGAAGGAGAGTGGGAAGGGAGGGGAGGAGAAAATGAAAAAAGAATTAATTAAGATGTGGTAAGTATGTGTACCAATTCCCAACAGGGAATGTAATCATTGTGAACTGCAAAGATGTACTAAGGAAATTTTTTAAACAAAGAAAGTGTTGATGGCTGTATTCCCTCTACAGAAATTCTGATTTAGCTGATTTGCAGTGTCTTGGGCCTTGCAGGTTTTAGAGGATTGGCACTTGACTTCAATGTGTGGAGACCATTGGTGCAAGAACTGAGAGACACAAGAAAGAATTAAGGTATTTTCATAGAGAAGTTGGAAAAATTTTTACGGTGGTGGTTAGTGTACAATTCTGTTCATGATTCAGTTTACGAGTCATGACTAAGTTCCTAGCTTTGAGCTTCTACACATTGGAATTGGAACCTCACCTCTGTGTCCTAGTGGCATTGGACCCTTGCATGGGCCACTCATCGTGTCTGAGGAGTAGCCGTGAACAAGGGCACAGAGAGTTGGGAGGAATGCAGGGCAATGGGAACTCAAGGGAAGACAGGCACACAGGTTTTCCCACAGAGAGAAGGTGGGAACCTGCAAGAAGATGGGCTCTGAGGACACACAAAGGTAGAAGTAGATGACATGGAAAACAATTTCTCCTCTCTATCCAACTTTCTCACCCAAATAAAAGGGAGTTCGGTTGAGTTCCTCCTATGAACTAGAATACAGACCAAGAAGCCATGCTTGAAGAGCCAGATATGAGTCCTGTTCTGATAACCAATTCTCTTGAGGAGAGTGTGTGAACCTCTTTCTCAGCTGATCAGTATGCTCAGCATTACTCCGGACCTTAGGCAGTCTCAATGAGAGCAAAGGAAACTCTGGAAGAATTGCATATCAAGTATATAATGAAAAGTCAACAGAATTCCGAATGGAGTCTGAAGAAGACAATGTGGAGAATAAAATACTTTTATCTGAATAAACCCAGGTCTGCCCAAATTAGCATTAATTGCTTTTAATAGCTCCATTTTAAGGTTTGTTTAAGGAGCAGTTTTTACCTGACAGGACCCAGAGAAATAAACCTACATTTACAAATGAAAAACTAGTTTTGTTAGATCATACTGAAAAATTTCAACAAGAATGTCGCACAAATTACAAATACCTAGATGGGGAAGGTGTAGTTACTTTGCAGAAAAGAATCAAGTAATGAAATGTAGGGGCTAGGGAAAGGCTTTGGAGTTCATCTCATCTTGTCTTCTCTGTGTACAGATAAGAACTTGGGGGACCACTGTGGTGGCATACGTCACACAGTGAAATAAATGTTGAAAAAGGAAGGAAAATTAAGTCTTTTGTCTCTAAGTGTCAACTCCCAGCCAAAAAAAAAAAAAAAAGCAACTTGGTTTTGTTTGGTTTTGTCTTTCAGTCAGGAAGAGCTGGATTTCTCTTTGGTGACAGGTCATCTTCTGACTGCTAAACCTCATCACATACCTCTGGTACAGTCACAGAAATCTGTGTTTTGTAAATTAATCTTATTTTATAGTTCATTTTATAGTATCATTTTTCTTTTCCTTGCCTCATTTTCTTTTTTGCATTAAATTTAACTCTGACATCTTGGAGGCATCGGTACAAATTGTGTCAAAGTCCTTATGTGACAAGGTAGGATAAAAAGACATGAGCAGCCCGGTCCCTCTTGTCCTACGTGCTCACCATGGAATTTAGGGTACACTTATTACATTTACACTATGGCTTATGTGCATATGTTTGTTGAGTATTTCAATGTCTCCATACGGTAGGCGCTACTTTTATCTTCATTTTACAAAGGCAGAAATGAGTATCATAGAAGTGAAGAAACTGCCTGGATCTCATAATTGGAAGGGAAGAGGTTAAAGGTGGGTCCAGCTGACCCCAGAGTTTAGGTTCCTCTACACGCACTAACTTTCTCTAGATAGCTGTTGCCCTGGGATGGAAAAGCTCTTCCAAGGCAGTGAATGACCCGACCAAACTGCTTTCCCATAATCCTCTGCTGTTTGTTCTTGCTTCAGAAATGACATATCATTTCACTCAGAGAGACCTCAAATATGACTCCAAACAATTGGCTTCCCAAGAATTGGCAATTTTCCTTGGTTTTATTATTGAGGGGAAGAAACTCAACCAGTTATTTTTCTTTCTTGCTCTATTACTTTACAAGCACAAAAATAATCACACTAAGATGTCAAAAATCAATTTTTAAATGTGCAAATGTGGAGAAAGACACCCCTTCTCAGAGAGAATCTAAAAACAATTTTTCAGTAGATTCACGTGTGCTCTTTGCATGGAATGCAGGGGCCACAGCTCACATGGCGCTGCTAACAGGACATCAGTAAGAGTCAAAGGGTGTAAATATGGGATTGCAAAGCACGTTCACAAAGTTGTTTAAATTAGCAGGTCACCCCATGAACTTAAGTGCGCAGGGCCCTATTCCTATAATTCACTCTAACTCCCTGGAGACAGGTCTTCTTTCCACTGCTTTTTCTTGAGTCAGTAGATCAGGGAACTCTCCCCATGCCAGCCCTTAGCCAGATACTACCAGAGAATAAAGGGAATAGTTCTCGTCCTTAGCGAGTTCTGGTGTAGTTGGTGAATCGGAAAATGATTACAATAAACAAAGCTTATGCCGAAGAAACTACTAGGTAGGGCAAATTTAGGGTTGAATTGGCAGTGCTGTCAACCTCAAGTGCTGTGAAGTCCTGCAATGATGAAACTTGGGGTAACCTCAGGGATACACGTGAAAACTGTGATTTTAGAGGAAAGGTTGCAGGGAGAAATAGACGGGCAGTACAGGTAATGCATGGTGATCATCACAGGCATTTGTTTCATGTCAGATTCTGAGCTGTAGAGCTTTCATATTCAAATTCTTGCATAAGCTGTGACAATGTTATAAGGTTATTGTCCCTTTTGAAGATAAAGAAACTTTGGCCTAGAGTTGAAGGTTGTTTGCCTGTAATTGCACAGCTGGAGGTGGGATTTGAACAGTACATCTGACTACGATGTCCATCTCTCCCTTCCAGCCATTAATGACGGGTCTGGCAGTATTATCCACATGTGCTTTCACTTCAGTGTAATGCTTCCTTTAGCACAGAAAACCTCTGGGTGTATTCAGAGCCTGGTTTGGTACATATTTTTCTGAGGGCTGACTAGGAGTAAATCTGGGGATATAGAAAATAGGTTAGTGTGAGTTATTAACCACCTGGGTCTTAAAGCATATTGGAGTGACTAAAACATGAGAATTACAGTACAATGTGGTAAGTCCTATAGGGAAACAGAAACAAGAGTTGGGGGAGGCAAGGATAGAGTAAATAGCTCTGCTTGGAGGAAATAAGGGGCAACCTCACAGAGATGGTGCAATATGAGTTTTCCAATCAAAACAGGCCAAAAATACATCCCAGAAAAAAAGACTGACACATGTAAAGGGCCCAAATTGTGGAAGAAATGTACAGAAAGTTCAGAGTCGCTGTGTGGTGAGGAGGGAGATAAAGGTTGAGATCATATTGTGAAGGTGTTATATTCCCCAGACAAAGTCTTCCATCTCATATCTATAGGCGATAGATCATCAGCAGGGATGCCTATGAACGTCAGTGTCTTGGTTAGATTTGCTTCCTAGCAGGATAACCCAGGGACATGTGGAGGATAGAAAGCAGGGTTTGCTGTAGTCCTACTGAGAATGAGTGAGGGCTCAGGTCATGGCACTGTGGATAGACAGGCAGGGTGGCTGCGATAGACATTCGCTTCTGGAGTTAAATTCTTGGGGCTTGGTGACTGGCATGTGGTAAGTGAAAGCAAGGAAGTGTCTGTGGAAAACTGTGATTTCTAGTTTTATAGCTGAGGTGGATGCAAATACCATTAGCCAGGGCTGAACACACTACACAGCAGATTTAGTGATATTATGGTCGAAAGGGTGGAAAAATAACTTATATTTTGAGGATGCTGTTTTAAGCTTCTACAGAAAACATCCCATTGGTGATTGGGGGAGGCAGCTGGGAAGATAAAGTCATAGATTCAGGGACATGGAATTTAAGGCTCTAGAATCAGTGAGTGCCCCCAAGGCATCCTGGGGAGGGTAACAGAAGGAGACTCAAGGTGGAATCTTGAGCAACCTCATCACCAAAGTGTGGACATCTGAGAAGGGGCAGTGGAACAATGGAAAAGACTTTTAAGATGGATAAAGTAGTTCAGTTTTACGGCAAATATTATCCTGATGGTGAGAAGGACGAAGACTGCAGAAAGATCATTTGATTCGGCAGTGAAGAAGTCACCAAGGCGCTCTGAAAGAGGATTTCCATGAGAATGTGCAGCTATGCGTTTGGATTCTAGGAGGCTGGAGGTAGTTGAGAAATTAAAGCATCAAAACGGTGGTGCATATTCAGTGAATTAAGCTGTGCAAAAGACAAAGATTTATCAACTATGATATGAAAAGTCTGTTCAGTAACAGACATTGATAGGTTAAAAGAAAGTTGTTCAGTAACAATATGTAAAACAACAACCACTGATAATTTCCTATCATTTTTGTCTGTCATTTGGTAAGCCCCCCTATTACTATGTTATCCTTCTTTTACTCTTTGAAATAATAAGAAAAAAAAGAAAGAAAGTTGTTCAGGAAGCAGGAGAGAATGGGGATTCAAGAGATAATGAGATTTTCCAGGGCATGGTGGTGTGTGCCTGTAATCCCAGGACCCGAGAGGTTGAAGCAGAAGGATTGCTGTGAGTGCAAAGCCAGCCTGGGCTGCATAGTGAGTTCAAGTTCAGCCTGAACTACATAGCGAGATGCTGTCTCAAACAGAGAGAGAGAGAGCGTCCAGTCCACAACGGTTGGACCAACTCTGTTGGGCAGAGATGCCTCCACCTTTGGCCCAGGAGGGATGAGGAAGGGAGGAGCTTCAGGTTCTGGAAGAGAAGGTATAAAAACTGAAAAGGAACTTAGTAACTGTTATGGTTTGATCGTCTGTGTTCCCACAAAATTCTATGCTGGGCCCTAACCCCCAGTGTGGTGTTTGCAGGTGAGGCCTTTGGAAGGTTATTAGGGTACAAGGGTAGAACCCTTGTGCATGGGATGAGCGCTCTGATAAAAGACACCTTAGCGAGCTCCCTAGCACTCTTTCCACCAAGTGAGAACACAGGGACAAGTTGGAAATCTGCAGCCAAGAACCCAATCATTCCGGTACCCTGTTCTTGGACCTCTAACCTCCAGAACTGGTACAGATAGATTTTTCTTCATTATAAGCAAACAGACTGTGATGTTGTGTTGCAGAATACTGAACTAAGGCAGCGGCATTCCTTTTGCCTCCCATTGCAAGTAGAGATCCAGAGAAGTATAATAATTTGTTTTACTCTGTGATACAAATGAATAGTAAGACCATGGTTGGAAATCAAGCCTCCTAACTCACATTCCTGTGTGCTTTTACTTCTCCAGGTGTGTCTCATAACCTCATAGCCTGAGGTCGGTCCTGAGGTAAGGGAAGATGAGTGCTGATACACAGCAAAATTACTTCCTCACAACCAAGCACAAGTGTCCTGGAAATTAGAGCCCATGGTACCCTCCCCCTGCCTGTTACATGGTTTTAAATCATTTGACACTCAGAAACTTCTCAAGTACCTGGCCCTGCGCTCTGCACAAAGAGCCACATGAATGAAAACTCCAGATCCCCCACCTCTCTTCCAGCCTCAGATCTGAACTGCTTCTCTGAGCTAGCTCTTTCCATAACACCCTCACTTGTTCCTCACACCTACATCCTTTGGCTCCCAGCAGATCCTCCTGTTTCTGCCCAGTTCCCGCTTCATTGAAGAGTCCTGTGACTCATCCTCCTGCGGTTATGCTGAGTAAGGATCTGCAGGTCCTTCACAGACTCAGAGTCCCTTAAGAAGGCAGGAATGTCTTCAGAGCACTTTTTGTTCTTATTTAAAGAAGTTGATTAGTACATGTGTGCAGTACCTAGGGATTGCGTTCATTGTGGGGAGCTGCTACCTGTAGATCTTCATTCTTTCACCTTCCCCTTCCCCTCCCTTTCTGCTCTCTTCCCTCCGTCTCTTGGTCACCATCCTATATGCAAATGATCTGTCTCCTTGATTCCTATTATCCATGATTTATTTTGCCTTTTAAATTATTTACACATTGAATTTCTCGTATAGGAGAAACCATGTGATACTTCACCTTGTGTGTCTGATTTATTTCATTTAACATACGTTCCCAAAACTTTCACGAATGTCATCTTGACTTCCTTGTGCAAGACTTGGACAAATAGGTTATTCCCTACTAACTTCAAATTCTCTATGAATTTATAATCATTTCCAATAGTTTTCTAAAACTGTAAATCCAGTAACTATTTATTGAGCTCATAGTGCCTGGAGGGTGATGGGGCAATGAGTCAGACGTAATCTCTTGTCTTCAAGGAGTTTCTGTCTAATATTAGGGAGCTAAATGGCAAATTAAATAGGAAGTGTGAAAGTGCTTAGCGGGGTGCCTATCTTAATGGGTGAGAAATTATTTTCATTTTTCAAACGATACACATAAATACCTGGGAGAAGCGAGAAAGATGGCTCTGATAACAAAGAGATTCCTAGATTCTGGTAGAGGCAGGAGGGAAGGCCTTTGGAAGAGATACAAATGTGAAACATTGAGTAGGATTGCAGCAGGCAGAGGTGGGGGCTGTTGAGAGAACTCGTCTGATAAGCAACTGTGTTTACAGGTGAAACCAATGGTTAAGAGAGACCCCAGGCAGTTTAGAGCCTCTTATCTCACAGCAATGGAGTGCAAGCCCTGAGATCTATGCCAAATGATGTGATTCCCAAGGCAGCCAATCAGAAGTAGGATTAGTTCCCAAGAAGAAGAGCCAGAGGGCTTTGGGCTCCTTCACCACCCCCATTCTGACTCATAGTGGGACTGAGCTGAGTTTTATTGCTTCATTTCCCTTGGTCAAACCAGGACGATTTGAATGCACCTGCCTCACTTCTGTCGCCCCTGCTGGGTGAGGGTGGCCGTTGTGAGGGACAGGGACCACTTCCTAATTAAGCTTCTGTGGCCAAGGCCCCACGTGAGGGCTCTTTGAGGTCTCACTCAAATGAGGTGGGGGCCGGCTGACTGCTCAGCCACACACGGAAGACAGATTAGCTATTCCCCTCAGTGGTCCTCTGGTTTGGTTTTGAAGTTGCAAATTTCAGAGGCTGGTGTTATTCTTAAAAAAGACGAGGGTGAGGAGGGGTGGTGATGTGGCATTCCACCTGTCAGGGAGCAGCCAGGACGCGGCTGTGACGGCTCTGCCGGACACTCTCTTGCCTCCTACCAGTTCCAGCTTATTCTTGCCCTTTGAAACGCACAACAAGTGGTCTCAGAAAAGAGGCAGAGGAGGAAGAGAGGAAGCCATAGAAACTACCTGCTATCACCACATGCCTGGAAGGCTCAGTGTTTTTCCACCTAAAGTGAATTCTGTCTGCGAACGCTTACTTCACCTCGCCAAGGGCCACCTTGTTTATCTGCATGGATGCGAGAGCTTGGCTTATCCATTCAGGGGCATCTCCCACCAGCCACACCTGATGGCGGCCAACAAACCCAAACCGCAGAACCCTAAGAGGTCCCCAGAGGCTGCAAGATAGTGGGGCCAATCTTCTGAATAGCAATTAGAGAAACAGCAATTAGAGGTGTTGACCTGTTGAATTCTCTTGGTCTCCAGGGCAGATGCTGTTGCTGATAAAGATGAAGGCAACAACGCCATCAATAACCTTCCGTAGTAGCAAATCATACCACTACGAATCTCTTTCACATGTATAAACTCATTTTCGCTAAAAAGCACCCTGGACGTGGCAGTCATCTTCGGAGCATCCCCCAAGAGATTAACTACCATGTGTAGTAAAGTGGACTTAGCGTAGATTCATTTTTTAGAGCCGAATGCGGTGGAACTTTTGGAATTTGCATTGTGGTCTTGCCCTTACCAGCTGGGTGACCTTGGAGAAACCACCGCACTGTTCTGAGCTTCGGCTTCTTCATATGTAAAAATGTGTTAATAATAACTGTCTCAGAGGGTTATTGTCGGGGTTTAAACGCTTTCATGTAAATAAAAAGGGCATTATAAACGCCAAAGCAATATGCAAATATTAATTACCATCTATACAAGAACGAACTATTTGAAAAAATAAATGTAAATTGAGTTGTGAGAGGGTGTGTGCGACGTGCCTGAGAGAACACTTTACATGGAATCAAAAGCAACGGGTTCTATTTTGGCTCTTGCATGTCAGGTGAGAGAGAAGAGTGTGGCTTTCCGACAGGCAAACACAGCCATGCAAGTTAAGCATTTGCCAGAAAAAGGAAAACGGCTGCCACCACCCACCTGTCACCCTATCACCTGTCATTGGCTGAATGGCTCTGAAGATGTCCATGTCTCAATCCCTGAAATGGAGAATATGTTACCCTACATGATCAAGGAGCTTTGCAGAGGTGATTAAAGCAAGACTCTAGAGGTGAGACTTTACCCCAGATTATCCAAAGGGGCTCGTATAATCGCTAGGGTCTGTATAAACAGCATAAAGGAGCAGTCAGTTATAGGGCAGTGGAGGCAGACATTGGAGTAAAGTACTTAGAAGAAAGAGGAAAGTGCCACAGGTCCAGAATACTTTCTGGAAGTGAAGAAAGACGAAGAAGCATTTCTCCCCTGGAGCTCCCAGAAGGAAATTTCCCTGCTGACAACTTGACTCAGAAGCCCAGAGAAACTCGTTTTGGTTTTCAGAACTTTAAGAAAATAAATTTGTAGTGTTTTCACCCACAAAGTTTGTGTGCTTCATTACAAAAGCAACTACAAACTCATACAGCCCTCTGTGGTGAGGTCCCCATGCCTCAAGCACTCCGGCCCCGTTTTCTTCCTCCCAACCTGTATCCCACCTCCAAGTCAGCTGGTGGACTTCCCCCCAGTCCTCTTCTACCTGCTCCCTTCTTTGGCAGGCCAGCATGGAGCTGGCCTTTCTGGTTCTGCATAGTTGGTACATTACCAGGACTTGTAACTGATAAACAGACCCAACAGTGTCACACCTTGGGTTGACCAGAGCTCTTCCTGAAGCACTGAAGCTCAGAAAAAGAAACTTCTTTTTTTTTGGTTTTTGGTTTTTGGTTTTTGGTTTTTTTTTCCGATACTGGGAATTGAACTCATGACCTTGCGATTGCCAGGTAGGCGCTGTGCTGCTGAGTTGAATCCCCAGCCCCGAAAAAGCAACTTTTAATAAATGCAGTTATAATACTGCCTGGACTCTATTTTCTCCTGTCATTTGGGGATAATTTTTTTTCTTTGCCTACTCCATAGAGTGGAGACTTAAGAGAAATGATAGCAACAAAAGCTCCTTGCCATCCATAAAATTTTGTGTACGTGTGAAATCCTATCTTTATTATCACCATCCTAATTATTTTAAAAAGATAGACATTTCCAACTTAATTTCTCCTAAACTTAAGAAGTGCGTCATGAAAAGTGACAGACCTTGACTACAGACAAGGGAAAATATGTTTGTAAGGAGAATATCCAGTTGAGTAGTGGATTTTAGACAGCCTAATTACCGATGAGCTTAAACTCTAATGGAATAGGGACTCATGAAGTGATTGTTTACTGATGTTGCCCATTTGAGAGTGAGAAGCTAGGCTTAATTTGACTTTTCTTTCTCTTTATGAAACAAAAAATAGAAATGAGACACTGCTAATCTGTAGTAAGGTTATCTAAAAACAGGGGCTTTATAAATATCTTTTGGCCACAAGACTGCTAAGAGCAAAGGGGCTGTGCATACCCATGCTTGCTGAAAAATGCACATTCTCACTAGTTATAGGCACTTCTCAACCATTTATTTAGTTAGTTAGTTATTTTAAAGAGAGAGAAAACCCAATAAAAATGGTACAGAATTTCAAAACAAGATGATAGGAAATTAACAACAGTTTTTGTATGGCATATTGTTATCTTCAAAGTAGTTGCTCAGATTTTCAGTTACAGGCATGCAAAGTTGATCAAACCATATAAGCACTAACTGTTCCTTTCAGTGAACTAATAGAAATTGACGGTACAACTTTCCTGTCAAACGCTTAAACCAGAGTTTACTTAAAACTTAGCCTCAGCCCTCAGAATGGTTTATGTACTCAGATCTCATTAATCTTCTTTCAATCAAGTAATCATCTGGTAAATTTGGTTAAAGGAGCAGAGAATATGAAGGTGCAAGGGGAAGAAGATGTTAGAAGGAAATAATATCTATCAACCACTTAGCTCAAAATGCACGATTACCTTCCCTTACATACTGTTTAATTCCCACTATTACCCCATTATGTGGCTGTGAGTCCCTATTTTAGAGATGAGGAGGCTGGTATCAGGAGCTTAGGTAACTGTTTGGAAGATCACAGTACAGGGTGGTAAGGCTGGCTTTCCGGACTTCTAGATCACCCTCTCACAAAGAAGGAAAGTGAGAGGAATTGATTGCCCTGAAGTTATACACTTGC